ACAAAGATTGGACACATATTTGTTAAAATAAAATACAGCCCCAAGAAAGACTGAAGTCGATCGTCTTTTCATTTGCGCTGCTGAATGACTTTATTTATAGTTAATTTTCTGATCTTGAAAGCAAATTCTCTTGCTTTCGATATTTGTTGAACGATGCCAGCTTTAGCACAGAGCCAATGAGGTGGGAACTTGAGACGTTGACACAAATCGTTATTCTACAGCAGGTGCTCAAATTCTATTGCTATAATTAATTTTCTTGTTGCAGAGTGTTAACAAGGCCAAAAGAAGTCTTTTTAAATAACATTTAGATAAATCCTCAACCCTGGTAAATCCGCAGAATCGTAAGCTTTCTATTTTGTTCTGCATCTAATCTTACCGACCGTGTTTAGAAATCCCATTTATAGCTATTAATGCCAACTCCCAAGACGTTTTCTTGTTATTCATGAATGACAGCTTTACTCTGACGGCCTTAATTTGTAAGCATGATCGGTTAATACTGCAAGCAGAACATAATAGCAAGCAAACGATTGGCAGTATCTGCAGGGTTCCATGATATAAAGTTATTTATGCACGCACACCTCTCCCTATCTGTCTCTGTCTCTCTCTGTCTTTGCCTTTCTCTCCCTGTCTCTGCGTTTCTCTCTGTCTCTGCCTCTCTCTCTTGTCTCTGCCTCACTCTCTTGTCTCTAGTCTCTCTCTTCGTTCCTCTTTCGCTCTCTCTGTTACTCTCTGTCTGTCTCTGTCTGTCTCTGTCTGTCTGACGTTATATATGATCAGCTTAGGTGGGCAATATGCTCATATTTCTCTAGATAACCACTCTAGAATGTTCCATCCCAGCAGATTTGATTCCTCTGGCAAAGGATAAACTCGTCATAAAAATGCTCAATCTTCATAAGAAAAAACAAGATGAAAACTGTTATAAAAGTAGGAATAAAAAGAATGAGAACGAAAGAATTTAAAAGACCTCATAAATAAAACTCTATCAACTGTTAAAAATATGTGAGCGTGTGCAGATGAAATAATCAACATTGTACCTTAACAGGCATTTGCAAGTCATATACTGTTTTTTAATTCACTTCAGTATATTCTATCATTTGATAGGAACGAATGTTTCATCGTAGATATTTGGACAAATACATTTCTGCGACAATGTCTCATCCTATGAAATATAAGAAAAAGTTTGTGTATCTAAAAGTGCTATCACTTGTGTGAGGAGAGTTATATGACTAAAGGAAAGAACATTTAAGAACAGCAGTAAATGTGCTGGATTAACTCGATCTTATATTATACAACTTAATTGTTATAGCAGGCTTCTTGAAACGTCCGAACTTTCGTTTTCAACTGTACCTTATTATATAAATGAGTATATCTTCGGGGCTTTGTGTAAGTACGAGTAACAATTTACAGATTTCTTAGATGTAATTATTTTTACTTGCATTAGTTACTTCCTTTGCTTTTTATCTAAACTTTTAGATCGTTATTTTTATTATTAATTAAAAGAGACCAAAGTTATAATAAAAAGCAAAAAATATAGTAATGTAGAAATCGGTTTTATTCGAACGTCAGTAAAGTATCCGTAGCCAAATTGGTAATGGAGCTGTGACAGAAAAATAAGCAGCCAAGTATATGGAATGCGAGTTCAAATCACACTGAAGGTTAAATCACTATTTTCGAGCTATGCTGAGTACTTAACGGTCATAGCTAAAAATTGCGATAAAAAGCAAAACAAGATGAGAGGACACACAGGTGGTTGGAATTTCGAACTGAACCATTTATTTCGCTCACTGGGGTAGACTGTTCTAGTTCCACGTGCCATGTTTGATGGATGTCAGTTATCTCCTGCTAATTTCCCTCTGAAAGTTCTCCACTGCCTTAACCGGAGGACACATGGCACAGTGGATAAAGGCGTTGGTTAGATCCAGTGACAGGACCCAAAGAGTGTGAGTTCAATACCTGGTTAAGGCAGTGGAGAACTTTCAGAGGGAAAATTAGCAGGAGATAACTGATAACTGACATCCATTAAACATGCCATGTGGAACTAGAACAGTCAACCCCAGTGAGCGAAATAAAGGGTTCAGTTCGAAATTCCAACCACCTGAAGAAGGCCGGAGCGTACAACGGCCGAAACGTTGTGATAAATATGGCGACAAAGATGAGGACAATTGTCCGAATAATGTAAATAATGTACATAATACCCCATCTCAGAAATATAGACAGATTTTTTTTTAATATTCTGTATTTTTCTTTTGTGAATTCAATGGACATTCGTTGTCAGCTTTGTGATGCCACTTTTGTGATTCAAATTCACAATACGTTGACATTCTTCCGCTATTTTCTGGAGAGTTAATTTCGAATTCATTTCTAATTTAGCAAGCGTCCTGGATCTTATCTCCACATCCTTATTAGAAGTTAAACCCTGTATGAATATCAGGCATTTTAATAAATCAGGAGTTAATTCATTTAACTTGAACTTTTCACATTCTCGATTCACGACTCCTGCATAAGTGACAAAATCTTCATCGTCGGACTTTAGTAAGTTAAGACATTGCCATCGTGTATTAATAATGAGCTTCTATCAACAAAGATTTTTGATAGTATTACAACAGTTTCATCAAAATTTAACTTTCCTGGCTTTTTCGGTAAAATATAATTCACATATATTTCCTGTTCCGCAGGAGACAATTTCCTTAATAAACGATCTTTCTTTTCATTATTCCAATGCGAACAATCCCCTTTGAATATCCTATCGTATCTTCTATAATAAGCTGGAAAAGTTATCCCTTTGTCTGGATTGTATACAAATTCGCTGATTGAATTAGCAACAGCATCTGGAGTGAATTAATCTGAAGTTTTTCCTTCCATGGTTTTGGTAAACAACTCAAAAAACTTCTGTTGTTGTAGTTGCAATTGTAATTGCTGTTCAGTTTGCTGTTTCTGCTACTGCAAATGTTGTTCTTGTTGTAATTTTTGTTGCTTCAACTGTTGTTCTTGCTGTTGCTTCTGTAGCACCAACATTTCAACTATAATAGCTTTTAGTTCTTCCATTTTGCTGTACTCTGCTGAACGAATCCTCGTGTAAGTTCAAGGAATTCTTGCGAAACCTTGAGAATCCTTGTCGCTATTTTTGTAATACCAACAAATACTCGTTGTCATTTTGTAAAGTCTCTTTGTAGTAGACTTTGTAATCGCAGATACAACTATAGTAACGCCATTGAACAATGCTGGTATCAGACGCCTTCGAATAAGTTTCGAACTAATAGTACTTGATCGATAATACTTGCTCGAATAGTGATCCGAATAGAGAATAATATAGAGAAGAGAGTAGAGAATAACGGTCCGTATAGTACAGAGAATAGAGTAGAAATACAGATCATTTAGACGTCACGCGACTTGCTAGATATATGCGTTTCCTCTATGGTCACGTGGTCTACTTAATTCAATAATGGGATCGCCTGTATTTGCTCAATGGCTATCTATGTTCAAACTCAAGTGTAGGCAGCGACATTTTATTCCTATATAACATTTTCTAACATTGTCCTGGTATATAAAAATTTATATATCTTCTCTCATATTCCCCCTCTCTCACTATATATATATATATATATATATATATATATATATATATATATATATATTGCGCCTCTCTGAATGTCTCGTATATTACATACACTTACGTGGAAATAACCTTGGGGTAGATATGAATCCGTCTGCTATATTTAGCTTAGAGTTAAATAGTAGAACTTGTATTTGGAAAAATTATTATTATTCGAAAAAGTGTTGTTAATGCAATATTCACTCGCAAAAAAATTTACAATCGTAAAATTATGTTTCAGATTCAAATAGCACATAATAGGTGAAAAAATATAAAAATCCTATTTTTAACGCGTGAATGTCTTATTGTTAATGTGTGAAAACGTGTAATGATTAATGAATATGTACTTGTATGGGAGAAATTATATTGATAATTCAATGGTTTGTGTACTGGGCTCATTTCTTAAAAGAGGGATAACGGATACTTTAATTTGGATTTTTCTTTCTAATCAGCTTATACGACATATATGAAACTATTACAGAATATATATAGATCTGTCAAACTTCCTGAAAATGCTTATTCGTGTCTTGAATAATCTTGGTCGCCTAAGTCATGGGCTGACAAAACATGAAATAATCTATGGGTACTGTTTATAAAATGGACTGTTATTGTATAGTGGACAGCAATATCTGTTTTCTTGGAACGACAACATAAATATTGAGAAAATAGAAAAGGGAGAGGAACATGAATGAAAATAGGTAAAAAAAGTGAAGGGAGGAATGATACACTTAGAAATAATGATGCAAACTATTTTCACAGTGTTGGGAAAAGATCAAGGATTACAAACTCTTGTCTGTTCAATTCTAATGAAACAATCTTCGAAACTCGTAACTAATATTGGTTGCTTAGTACAATATCTGAAAATGTTGAAATAGGGTCATTGTTACACACCAAGTCATCTGTCAACGGAATATTCTGATATTCTGACTGAATATTGAAAATATTAAGGTATATCTAAGGCTAGAACCACCAGAAGACTGTTTTGTGAGCATCGCAACTGTTTTACGTGGGCACTATAATCATAGATGGATAGGAGTATGTGCATGTGTGTTGACCATGTAGACTCCTCTGTGGGGAATCGAGCCATACTCTCTCCACGCTAGGTTTCAACTGTCTTTTCTAAAGCTATAGAACACAATCTGTTTTGCTATTAACCCCTAATTGGTACAGAGAAGTATTTACAAGGATATTGTGAAAACATGAACGCAATAGACTAATCTGGAATTTGAACAATCCTATTTTCTGAACCGATAATCGCTACGTTACCTGTACATCCGATTGCATAAGCATAAATAAATTAAAAATGAAATAGAATAATAAATGAAAACACATACATGTTTTTTTCTTTGGTTCTCATATATTTAACCATTTTTAAGTTGTACTTAAATTTTAGAGATCTAGTGGCTTAGTCAAATCATGCTGAAAACATTGGTTCTCGTTCGGTCACCGAAGTTAAGCAGCGTCGAGTCCGGTCAGTACTTAAATGAGGGACCACTTCGGAACACCGGATACAGTAAGTGATCTCATAGAATCCGAAATATGTTTCGGCTTCAGAAAACCTATAGAGGTTGATAAACTGTTAAAATCCAAATCCCTTAATCAGAAACCTAATGAAGATATCCAAGGAAATATTTTTACGGCTATTTCCCACCGTATCAATGAATTATGTGGTATGTCACTCTTACGATGTAGTAGTACATTCATGAATTTTTCCGAAATTATTAGCTAAGTTATTGAAATTACAAGAAACATGTTGCAATTAAAAATTGTCATCAATGTTTACAAAGAGATTTCATGAGAAATGTATGTTCCAAGGTTCTGAAACTCGGTTTATCCAATGATTTTGTAAGTTGTTGTATTTCTTCATATGAAACAGTCTGCACAAAATCCAGAAAAACATTCCAAAATTCCAACAAGTATTTATTTATTGATAAAAAACTGACTAATATGAGATACTGAAAAGTTATCGTTCTGACATGAAAAGCTAAAAAAAAAAAAAAAAAATGGTGTTTAGTCATTTGGGCCTAATTTTTTTAACTGGCAAAGTATCTTACAAGTACCAAAAGTTAGAAAATTGCTACAAAATTATCTCGCATCAATCTACCAGGATTAAAAGAAAAATGCCTTCCTCGAAAATCGGCATTTGGCAACTTGTATTTTATTTCGAATTGAACTCTGATTATTAGTGGTGTAAACAAACTCACTAATGTCAAGCCAAATTAATAAAGACATATTAGTAAAAATAGTAGGAATATTTGCGAAGAAGTCTTTACTTTCCAATCTTGATAGTCCAAAAGTGTCTACGCGGCCTTGTGGGTGATCAATTATTTCCTACTCTACCACCCCTTTCCCACAGACAAAACTTTGCTTGCCTCTCGCAACTATTTCCATTTCAGACGAATTACATTCCTTAGTTCCGCCAATTCTAAACTTTGAGGCCAAGTCACGCCCATTGTAGCGTACCACCTTCATTCTGTTCCATTGGTGAGATATAAGTTCCACTCGAACGGCTTCTTCCCACAAACCGCTATATTGTGGAGCCGACTCCTAAATGGATGCTTTCCCCTATCACTACAATCTTAACCTGTTCAAATTTAGGGTTAACCGTTATCTTCCCCACATATCCTCAAAAACTGTATCCTTTACATCTTGGACTTTGTATAAGGTGAACATTATTGTAAAAATAAACAAAAACAACTAAATTTTAATATCGTAAGAAACATATTCACTGTCCATTTTTATCAGGGTGAATGTTCATTTTTGAAAAGAATAGATATCTAGAAATGAAAACTTGTGAAAACTGTTTACATATGTCATTTTTTGAAGCAAAAGAAAAATGGCTGGCAGATAAGTTGATAGACGTAAAACCTCAATATTTTCGAAGCTTGTTCGTAGATATAAGCATTATTATTTTGAGCTGAAGTATCAGACGTAGTTATGGTAACATAACTATACCAGCTAGTGATGATGTTTCTAAAAATAGATGAATGATATTGAAATGGCCTGAAAAGAAATTGTATTTAATGAACGGTTTATCTCCCTTTAGGGATTGAAGCACAAAATTAATTAGGCCCAGTCCTAGGAGACTATTTTCTTCGGCAGTGTACTTCACTTTTGAGAACGAGTAAGGGCCAATACTTAGCGCCTGAATCGTCCTCAAAAGAAGAAGAACCAATGATGCTGGGCTATTTTTGATCTCTTATCCCATGTACGAGTCCCCCTCCCCCATTTTAAACTCAGCTTTATGTGACATTCTGTTTGAATGAGTGTCCAGAAAAATCTAGCTGATGAATGTTAGAGAAGGGTTTTAACATACAAGATAAAAGTGAAATAAAGAAGTAGCCAGCCATTAACATAATATGTATTAGGGAGAAAGAAGCTAAAGTAAATTGTATATGCGAGAGAGAAATAATATAAAGCTGTCAAGGGAGAAATGAAAAAAAAATATGCGAAGAACAGATTAAAGGTAACGAGGGAATGCGTTGATGGAGAGAGAAATAAACTGTTTGTGAGGTAGAGAAAAGCAATATGAATCATAGATGAGTCGAAGTAGGTCGAATCTCTCTCTCACCATCTATATAGCTTTCTCTATTACTCTATCTATGTAGATATCTTTCACTATGTAAATATTTTTCTTACTATCTATATAGCCCTTGCTTCATCTATATAGCTCTCTCATCTCCATAGATCACTCTCTCTACAGATCTCTCTCTCTCTAGATCTCTATAGATCGCTTTCTCGCTCCCTCATATATATATATATATATATATATATATATATATATATATATATATATATATGGTTAGATGGATAAATTGTCATTATTTTATATTTTTAATTTCGCGTCCTACCATAGATCAGTATTCGTTATTTTTACGTTTCACATTGAGATTCATCCGGTACAAGTCCCTGTACCACTTGAGGTAGTGGGTTAGAGTAAGAGGCATAGTTTATGCAGATAGGTAGTGAAGATATCGGTTAGCACTAACAGATTAGGATTGTAGCGATTAGGGAAACATCCTCTTGAAATTCGGTTCCACAGAACAATGGTTCGCGGGAAGAAGCAGCTTGAGTGAAACTTTCTTCTTACCGACGGAATACGAAGAGCATGAGAATAGTTTGATACAATGTGAGTAGCATGGTGGGTCCTAGCCGTTAAGGTTAGAAGTGGTGAAACCAAGGAATACAGTTCGTCCGAGCACTTTCCATGGAAGTAGCGATAGTGCAATGAGAGGCTTGTGACATCTCGTTTATGGGAGAGTTTGAAAGCTGGAAAACAATTTCTTACACATCAAAACGCGGAGACGCTTTTAAACTCTGTCGAGACTGGTAAGTGACAGAGGAAAGCTATATGATGTCTGTGAGAAAGTGATTGACGTCGTTAATGTCAAGTCAGAACCGATCACATTACATATCAGTTTTTGCATTTTGTTGAGAACCTTGAGATGAACAGCTGGGGTGCTGGACCATATATGGCAACAGTATTCAAGGCATGGACGAATTTATAGATGGACTCAGACGAGAAAAACCTAGCGTGACACAAAGAATCAACATTCCTTGCAGTAGATGCAGCTAATGATTCAATGTTCCACCCTCAGAGGCCAGTAGTAAACGTGAGATGAAGAAGGCGCAGTTAGATGCTCTCGGGAAGTTTTCTCTCTCCCTTACATTCTCCCTAACATTGCCTTTCTCCTTAGTTTCAAAAAATATTAATTATTATTATTATTATTATTATTATTATTATTATTAATAATTTTCCCTCCTAATATTTAATATTCTATTTTATAATTTCATTGCAATTGCTCCGAGGTGCTGTATTCGCTGGTTTCCAGACTTCATGAGTTCAAGCGCCCTACGAGGCTGGCATCCCGCTCTCACCCTTTCACTGTCGAAACTGCTAAATGTAGCCGTCTCTTCTACTCCAATAGCTTCATGTCTCGCACTTCTCGCCTGTGGAACTCCCTTCCCTATTCCAGTTTCCCTGAGATCTATAATCTCCAGCTATTCAAATGTAATGTCAATCGACATCTCCAGTTGCCTTGATCTATCCACTACCCTTCTCCACATTCTTATCTCTATCACTCCTATCTGATCTTGCTCCAAATTGTCTGTAACCCCTTGCGTCTTAGTGGCTTCTCGCCTTGCTTGGGGTGAAACGCATAAAAAAAAATATATAATTTTTTTAATATAAATTATTTTAATATAAATTTTATTAATATTAATTTCCCTCCTTCTCCCTTTTAATCGTACAACACCCTCTTCGGTGGTCCAAGATTTCCAACATTGCGGCTGATCGATGAAGATAGCTTCGATCTCAGACCTGCCTTATTATGATTTAAGATTGATTATAAGGAGGCCAAGATCGAACCGTCGCAGCTATCTTCGTGTCGGGGCTGGTCCAAGCAGGGCGATGACGTACACGAAAAAAAAATAACACTCGAATAAATTGAACAAAAGTAAATACTGTTTTTTTTATATCAGTCCTCCGTACAATAATTGGTTTATATCACAGTTCGCATGCAATTAATTATCAGCCCAACCCGCATCTAAATTGGAAGTGATATTGTTGACTTGGTAAAATCTGGTTTGCTGTTATTGGTAAGGTTCAGCATAAGGCTGAAGTCGGGGTGCTCTCTTCGGCAGGCAATCACATGGGGGTGTATCACGACCGGTGGATGAGACTCACTACTCCCCCGTGTTTTAGTGGCCTTGTTGCTTTGCTTGGGGTAAAATGATTAAAAAAGACAATGAGTTTTTAAAATTTTATAAGCCTACTTTGAGGACGTTTCAAAATACTATTACTAGTGAAGACTTATGCCGATTCGTATTTTTGTTAATTATTATTTTAATCCTTATTTTTTAGTAGGTCTTGTTTAGTAAAGGTTCTGAAAACGCTTTGTTGATTAGGCAAAACGTGGATAAGTGGAATCAAAATTGGTGATCAGTGAATAGCAAGATCCTCGCGGCTGAATGAATGCTGAGGTCCTGCTACATACATACATACATGGTGAATATTTGTAAAAGCGTAAAAAGGTACATACCTCTATTTAATATATATATATATATATATATATATATATATATATATATATATATATATACAGGTTTCAATGGATAAATTGTCGCCATTTTATATTTTTAATTTCGCACATACGCGTTGTTTGTTTTTGATTTTGTCTATTACACAGTATAGTAGGGTCAGTTGTGCACTATCTGTGAGAAAAAGATCATCATGACGCAATTTACTGCGCAAAAAATTAGGAAACGACATGCTGTACTGCTTGGCATTCGCACCGGAAGCTCCAATACGAACATTTCAGAATGTTTGGGCGTCAATCTGAGGATTTTGCAGAGGATTTTGGATGAGTCTAATGGTGATTACGAAGGTTTTTTGAGTGATCACTAGTAATGGCGAAGTTATACCTCCATTCATCTCCCAACAGGGTCTCAGACTCAACACGGAGGCCTACATCAATTGCCTTGAAGAGGAATGCTGCCCTGAGTCAAGAGGGTGGCTGCTGGAAGAACCTATGTCTGGCAAAAGGACTCTGCACCATGCCACACAAACTAGAGTAGCTGGTCATATATATATATATATATATATATATTTGGTTGGATAGATGTGAGTTTGTGACCCTGGGTTTCACGCTTTAGCGATTGTCTGACGATCGCTAAAGCGTGAAACCCAGGGTCACAAACTCATCTATCAACCAAATATGTTATCTATCTCTGATATTGAGCGCTTTCTAATAAGTACCGCGCATATAATATATAAATAATTATACATATATATATATATTTATTTATATTTATATACACACACACACACACACACACACACACACACACACACACACACACACACACACACACACACACACATATATATATATATATATAAAAACAAGCATATAGTACTGGTGTTTATCCCTCCCTCGATAGCACAACTCTGAGTTTCATGCACAACGCAAGGTGCTGAGTATTGTATAGTCTATTCTGCACCTGAGGATTGTGTTTTGGATGAAACTCCGAGTTGTACTATCGAGGAGGGATATATATATATATATATATATATATATATATATATATATATATATATATATATATATTTGGGCACATTATGGCTGTGTTTATAGTTGATATTATTTTGTGGTGGCTTTTTATTTTTCAGGAAGTATTACTAATAAAAAAAGAAAAAGCCAACACTCAGTAATATCAACTATGAACACGGTCCCGATGTGCTGACCGTATTTGGAAACTAAAAAATTCCCATAACTCTAGAGAGAGACATAAAACAATGCATATATACAGTTAGAAGTAAAATAAAATTAATTCTTGATAATGGCTAAAATTATAACCGAAAGAACTTGGATTTCTAAAACATTCGTACAATTTTTACATAATTTATGTCATAAAAAAGAAGAAATCATACGAACACGTGAAAGACATAAAAAAATTAAGAACACCTGAAAAATTATATATCAAAAACTTAACAACTCAACTTGCATAAAAGAAAGATTACTGCCAAATACACACACACAAACATATATATAGCTCTCTCTCATTTCTCGCTCTATCTATTTATTTATTTCTCTCTCTATTTATTTTTCTCTATATATCTATTTATTTGTGTCTCTATCTCTTTGTTTCTATCTCTATTTATTTATCTCTCTCTTTATTTCTCTCTCTATTTCTATCTCTCTCTCTCTCTCTCTATATATATATATATATATATATATATATATATATATATATATATGGTGGAGGGAAACAAAATTTGAGTGGAGGGGAAAGAGGAATACACACTTTGATTATTTCTCCCCCCAAAAGCCAATGTTTCTCATTTATTTATTTAAGAGAAATTTTGTATATGTGGGGTTGGGGTGGAAGAATCGAAAGTAAGCGTGCATGCGAAAAATTAAAAATAGAAAGATAGTAATAACGTGGGATGGGGAGAGATAGATAGATAGATAGATAGATAGATAGATAGATAGATAGATAGGGGTGTTAGAATCTTCATAAGGGAGTGCAAGAATATGATTTTAAGATTGTACATAAAGACAAGACTAGATGGGCGTGTGAGATACAGAAAGACAAAGGCAAAGAGAGTAGAGTAGCGTATATCAATGAAAAGATGAGAGTGAAAAAGATAAGGAGAGACGGCTTGGCATTTCCGTTTTGATTGAACGCTTTTTGACAGACGTTGTCATCCCAGGTTACGTAAACATACACAAGTGTTTGCAGTCGGTCCATGGGTGCGTTGCTACCTGAATGTCCTTGTCTAAATTACACATTATTTTCATAAGAATATTGAATAACACATATTAAGCAAGATTATCCTATAAATTTTAAACTAATTCATTTAAAATATAAGTTTAGCTAAATTTAGAGTTATCTCTTATTTAGCGGTGTCTCTTATAATTCAAAATACCATATCCCAAATTTTGAATACTTTCGCTATATACGTAACGCATGACTAATTTATGCTCACAATAATACATTTATACATTTTCATGAATAAACTAAACAAAATCAAAGTTATAATTGTATTCACATATAAGAAACGAAAACACCTTTATATCTTTTCTTCTTGTTCGGTTAATTCGATTTGCTGCCGCTTTAAAACTAAACATTCATCTTAAGTCGAAAAATAAAACGACATCATACATTGAAATATTTTTAAAATCTCGCGACTATAATACCAAAAGAAAAGCGTGCAAAAGCAACAAAACCAAAAGAAAAGTATAAAACGGAACAAAAACTAGACACATTTACCAAAAAATGACATAACTAATGAAGTTTAAAGAAATTTAGCTAATCTTAAAATAAAAATTATCACAAAACCTTCAAAAACCGTTAAAGATTTAAAAGAGAACAACTAAATTTACATCAGAAGCAGGTGTCTGCCAAATAGAATTTAAGCAATGCCCTAAGTAAAAATGGCGAAAAGATCTCGAATATAGGAATATAAAGGGGACTGATAATTAAACAACGCACTAAATTTCGTGATCCCATTTTCGGTCTGAAAAATTTCATTTAATAAAAATGAATATAATCCTATCAGCCGAAAATGCATTGAATGTGCCATACTCTATGATTATCAAAAATTAATATGGTCCTGAATTATTTCCGTTTGTTGTCTGTTTTTACTAAATTAATTCTGAAAAAATATGGGACACGTAGACCTTGAAAGAAATAAAATAAATCTGAGCTGAAATTAGTTCAAATCTAATTTCTCTAACGATGCAGTTAGGGAAAATTAAGCGTTTAAATGAAATAGGTTTAGTCTCACGATATATATTTTATTGAAATAAAATTATTTTTCGGGTGGCGCTAGTTGATCGCCGAAATGAATGAATATAAATTGCCTAAATTTTTCGCCCTCTCTCTCTCTCACTATCTATCTATCTATCTAGCTAGCTATCTATCTATCTAGCTATCTATCTATCTAAGTAAATGTGTGTGTATTTGATAGGGGATGACTACAACCATAGACTGATGCATAGACTATGGCAGACTTTATTATGCAAGTGAATGTTTTCAAAATAGAATTAGTGATAATTGATAAAACGTTCGGGGTATATTTATATGATAAATATACTACGCGAACTGTTTTTATTAGAATTTTTTATAGTCACGTATTTATTGGAGTGAGGTTTTATTACGCAACACAAGAGCTGTTCATAGAAGTGTGCATATATATATATATATATATATATATATATATATATATATATATATATATATATATATATATCTGTTCAAGAGAAGTGTGCATATATATATATATATATATATATATATATATATATATATATATATACATAGTCGATATTTTTGAAAAACTTTCAGCTATAGAGAGGTTGGTATGAGCCCTGAGAAATATATTTCCTTAAAACAGACAAGATATTGTGAAGTTATTTGCTGATTGGGAACTTGACATAACAAGTTGCGAATTACTTGAACAGATCAATGAAAACAATGGAAAGCATTGGCAAGATAAGAACAAGACAAATTGATTTTAAGGATATCAGAAAAAGCGGCTTGAAAAAGAGAAGAGTAGATTGAATAATAAGAAAATAATTTAAAAAAAAGGTTCTTGCGAATGCAAATTGAGATAAAAGGTGTAGAATTTGTAGCCAAAGTACCACATTTCATTAAAAATTTGATTTTTTCTTTGATTTTTTTCTAGATTTTTCTATAATTGAAAATAGAAATATTGGTATAATATTAACACAGATGACAGCGTGATTAGCACACGCCGCTTTATGTGATTAGTTTCTAACTTATTCACTAGAAAATACAAAAAATAATAAAAGTTATACTTCTCCAGATAAAAAATTATGAAAATTTCCTGTTTCTAAAGCAAAAGGTATATACACATCTTATCTTCCTTAGTGATAATCGCCAACGGTTTAATTTGATGAAAATGTTACCTTTGACGAAAGTTTAAAATTTCAAGAAACATTGCCCTTAATCATTGTTTATGTATGTGAATATGTATGAGAGAATATGTGAGTGAACAAGTGAGAACGAAACGAAACAAACCAAATTTTAAGAAATGTTATTTTCCTCATGAAATTAGGCCTGCAATTCAGAAAGCCAAACGGGCCGTATGTTGCCTGCCGGTCGCAGTTTGCCCATGACTTCTAAACGATTAACCACATCCCGGGCGACATTCCGACTGTCAATAAAGACACCATGCTTGCAGTTGTGGAGAATAAACAAAAGATTTCGTCGGAAGGTTTTGCTAAAAGTTTCAAAATAGTTATCTCTGCTGATTTTTGCCATTTGAAGAGACTTAGGTTTGTTTCCAAACTTAGGACGTGGTTGTCACATTTTCTAATAAAACAACAAAGGATCGATTGTATTTCTGTGGCGGTTTATTAACTGTTAAGCCACGAGAAGGGGCCGTTTTTGGACAGAATGGTCACAGGCAATGAAAAATGCATAATTTATGATAACGTTCGACGAAAACAGAACTGGAAACAAGCTTGTGAATATGCAGAAACCATGGCTAAAGTGGACTTGTATCCAATGAAGGTGTTGATGTTTATTTGGTGGGAATGCAGACGGATAATTCACTTCTCCCAGTTGTTGAAACAATAATTTCAAAGAAGTGTTGCAACCAATTCACCAATTCTCCTTATTTAGATTCTTCAGATTTTTCACTTGTTCCACTTTCTACAGAATTTAAATAACAAAAAAAAAAAAAAAAAAAATACAGTCATTGGAAAACTACCTCACACTCTTCTCCCAGCAAAAAAAACAAAACAAAACAAAACAAAACAAAAAAAAAAAACAGAAAAAAAAACAGAAACAAAACAAAGCAAGAGAAAAAAAAAACACGAAATTTCTACGAAAATGACAAGCTTATAGAACGATGGTAGACAGTTGTTAAAAACTATGGCGACTTGACTAATTAACGTTTTTTGTGTGTATGCAAAATTTTGTTTTTAATTTTCTAATCGGGCACGAATTTTGCAATTATTTAATATATGGGAACTGACTTCTCAACGGTAATATTTATGAAGAATATTGAGATGGAGCTGATAGCCGGGCAATAAATTGCTTCTTCATGAAAACCGTGTACTAATACAATTCATAAGAAAGCATGGTGACGTGGAATAATATTTTGGACTCAATACGATTCAAAAATATTTTCCCTACACCCAATATAGGTAGGAAAATTGTAGGTTCTTCCAAAGTTCTATTTGAACACTAGATATTTTAGTTCGGTCTTTAGGCTGGATATTTCACAGCTTTGTTGATTCATGTGAGAATGGATCATTTTGTGAAAATATATGATGCCTTATAGCGGCGAAGACGGGCATAGAGAGTTCAGGTCTTTTACCGTAACGTTTTAATAAGGAAAAGAGCGTATATTCAAATTTGTAGGAGAAGTCTTCAAATCCTAACGTTTATTATTTATTTTTTACTGTTTGTTTTCTATCCCTAACATTTAAAGGTTTAACGGCAACAATACTTTAATATATATATATATATATTTTTTTTTCTCTTCAATTTATTATTTAGATTATTTCAGTTATTCCTATTATTCATAATTTAAACATTTTATTACAATAGTAGTAACTGTTATATTTGATGACAAGCACCCCCCAAAAAACGTATCGGAGGGATATTATCTCTGACGAAAGGAACAGTCGTACTTCTTTTGTGAATAGTACATCCGCGTTCACACCTGGCGCCCAACGCTCACCTGCGGCCAAACCCTGGTAAACCGTTTCATGTGACGAGGAAACAAGGTGAGGTTAGTCGACGGGTAAACCTCCGATAATTTGGGGTCTGTCAGCTCTATTGAATGTGAAGACTGATTCGAAGAGGAATGTGTGGATGAGATCTCCTACACAAATGAAATCGATGTCTGCAAGTGCTGTGGAATGCATCAGTATGGATGTAACACGTAGAAGTTCTGGTTACCAACTGCAGCCGGAAAGTCTCCAGTTTTCCCCCGAATAAAGACATCTCATGCCGAGAGAGTGGATTACACCAGTGGACGATTTCCTCACTATAAATTTTTCCTGTACAGATCTGTTTTTTTTTAAAAATTCGTCATTATATCACCGATCTGACAACTCACACAACAAAAGCCTACATGCATGCGTGCGTGGTGAAATAGCATAGTCATTAACCTGCACGTAGGCAGCCCATGGTTCAGTGGTGATTGTGTTCCTGAAGTGAGGGCAACAGGAAAGTCAAGCATCATTCGGGTCAAATGGCCAGCTTTTTCAGGATAGTACTGTCCACACTAACATGAGGGAGGGAGCTAGAAAATGTGCCTCAAACAAATGCTTGTTTTCAGTGTCCAGTCATATTATCACGGTCAGCCCACTGTGTTCAGATAAATCAAAAGTCTAGACAAAAAAAAGTTAATCATTGGAACCTGGAATGCCGGGACGCTACTGAATAGTCCACTAAGCTAGAAATAAGAACAACCCTTATCACCAAGATAATGCCAAGAAGGTTTTCGACTTTCTTAAGGCAGTATGTGGTCCTTCAAGATTTAGCTGTACTCCCCTACTGTCTTTGAATGTCATAACATTGGAAGGAAGGAGCCTTCTCAACAGTTCCTTGAGTGTTGACCCTATACTGTAGAGTCAGATAACTTAGCAATTAGATTTTAAGTATGACTTACCGCCCTCTATGATGGAGAGCGAGAAAAAATTTGCAGACAGATTCAGGCAAAGCACGAGGAAAGTGTTTTATTCCTGCTGAGATATACGAAGCAACAAGTACCAACGCTGTTGAGGACATTCCTGATGTCCTGCTGAGCGTTTGGGTGAAGATGACGGTTGACTTTTGCGATATGCTCTGATTATTTCTTCTATCAAAGAACGATGGAAATAAAGCTGACTGGAAACGACAGCGACATCTCAATCCTTTCCATCGTTGGAAAGATCTTGGCATGAATCGTCTTCAACATTCATCACAATCACGAAGAGGTTCATCTCAGAATCAGCTTAAATATGATATTTACCGGAAGGAAACAAAGAAAAGTGCAACAAAATGTACCTCCTTAAAATCGACTTAAGCAAATCCCTTTAGATTATCGATATGAAGGCTGTTTAGGTTGTCCTTGAGTGCATCGGATGACCAGAGAAGTTTGCAAAGATCATCAAGTGCTCTTCAATTGTGACATGAGTGATACTTTTGAAATCGGCAAAACCGGGAAACAACATTTTCTTCAAATGCATACTCTCATATGCAACTCGTAATCAGGAGGAAGAAATCTATAATTGATATCGTCTGGATCGCTTCCTTTTTGACCCATATCGTCTCTGTACCAAAACAAAATCTTTTCATCATCTCCCTCAGAAAGGTCCTCTTCGCTGGTGATTCTGCTCTGATGGCTCATTGGGAATCTGAATTGCAGCTGATGCTTGGTTGATTTTCTATAGTTTCAAAATTGTTTGGCTTATGCCTCAGCAACACTGAAGCTCTTTATCAACCTGCACTAAACTTCCCTTCCACAGATTGCACCCAGCGTCCTATCATATCCCAATCCCCACTCCTGTTTACCAACTAACAAAAGTTATTAGTCAACTAATTACACCATAAATTCCCAATAGATACAGCATAAAATCAACACACTAACTACTCCAAATTTTAAACACAAAAAAACAAATTCTAATAATAAAAATAGCCTCACTTGACGATCAAAGTTTATTCACCATCCTAATATTTTAAGGAAACTACTCTTGATGTGCACTACAGAAGTTCTTTTCTATGAAACAAACAAAAAAGACCATAAAAGAACATATATGTACAAGGTGATGGTATTTCTATGGGTTCAGTTCTAGGGCCAATATTTAGCAACGTCTACAGGACGAAGATATGTAGATTACATTGTCATTTTACTCAAAGACATAGACGAAATACATGAACCACAAAAAACCTTAAAAACTCCGTATTTAATTTCACATACGAACTTAATGACAATAAAATCCCGTTTCTTGATGTATTGATAGCCACTAATAATAATACATATAAAAAAACAACATTAGCATAAACACGTGTACTCACAAGTATAAAATTGTCCTATTACAAAATAACTATTATACGAAACCTAATAAACCGTGCAAAAGCGAACTCTTCAACAAAGAAGATTTTCTCTACTGAATTAAAAAAAATTTAAAGAAACCCTCATTAATAATGACTTTCCTAATTGCATCGTTGAAGAAAAAGTAGACTAGCTATTGAGGATATAAAGATAAATAAAAATGAACATAAGACATAATCAAATAACTCTAAACATATCAAGCTACTATACCGTAATCAAAAGCATTTTACCTGTAAGCAGGAGGAAAAAATTCTAAAAGTCTCATAAGCACTAATATATCACCCACTGATCCAAGTAAAAAAATAAAATTAATTATATGCTATACTAAATTTAATGCAACCAACCAAGTCATTCAAAGCAATTCTCCGTCAACTAGCATCTTACAAAAGACCAACATTGTATATCAATTTAAATGTTCTTTGGGAGATTGCATCACTGATAAAAATGTTAATACATGTGTTAGTTTTACAACGACGACGTTGACGAGACGTCTTACATTTCACTTAAAACAGCATAGTTCAGTCTCAGAACAGTTAAAGGAACACTCATGTCCACATTCACAGTTTAGACATTTATTAGTGGAAAATACATTAGTACTTCATCAAAATAATAATAAGC